TATATATATATATATATATTGATGAGTAGTATTTTTAATAAATTTAATTGACTACAAGACTACACAGATTTATAATTAATTAAAAGTATTAATTAAGAAAATAGAACAAAAATTATTAAATTAGATTCAAATGATGTTTTAATATAAACAATAATTTTTAAATCTTGCCCTAATCCTTAACATCTTATGGCTACGTGATTAGGGTTATCAAAACGACTCTTTGTTCTTAAACGACTCGTGTTCAGCTTGCTAAGCAAATGACCGAACACGAACACACTTTTTGAGCTCGAAATATAAACGAGCCGAACACGAGCTGAGCCTGGGCTCGCTGGTGTTCGACTCGTTTACACCTCTAAAGCACGATACCAAACTTATTGTCGCGGGATATTTCTGCCATCATTGGGATAGTGCCTAAGTTGAACTCCGAACCATTAAAGACTTACAAGATTCTTTCCAACCATGGATGTTTGAATGTAAAGGTATTATTTTCAAAGGGGACCACAAACATTATGCACTTTTTGAGGACCACAATGAAAAGAGACTTTTGGCATCTTTGACCTCTACATGCTTCGAATCTTGCTTTTCTTTTGAACTTTAAATAAGTTTTTTTTTTCATACGCCGCGGGATTCTAACAGGGAGGCTCCTTTTTGCGCCAAGCGCGCCCTTAGTGTTTCTTTTGTTTTGTTGCATGTAGATGATCATATGAAACTTTCTACTTTAAATGTAGAGGATATGTCTCTGTTTTGTATATCGTAGATGCATACATGCATAGTTTTTATACCTTTTTGATTTATTAGTGCAATATGCAATATTGAAGGAAGGGGATGGTGACATTTGAGAGGTGGCTGGAAAGGAAGCTGGTAGCAAGTTGTAGGCACTGTAAGGGGATTGACAGCGGGTTGTAGGGGATGGAAGGGGGAGACAACAGGTTGGATGTGGCTGAGAGGTGCGACAACAGCTTAGAGGTGGCTGGAAATGGGGTGCAATAGGTAGGGAGGTGATTGAAGGGGCTGGTAGCATGCTAGAGACGGTTGGAAGGGCTATCCGACTACAGAAAATAGTCCGGGTTCGGTTTCCGAGCAACAACAACGACCACAACAATGGCGGGGAAGTAGAGAACGATATGAAATCACCACATCAAGATGAGTAATAGGAATGTTGATGGCTGTGTTAACATAAATCTAAAAGCAAAATTGAAAAGCTAAGACAAAGAAAACATGTACATAAGTCCTAGATGACGCGAGGTTCTCTTGGGGAGACTGAACCGACTAGAGATCACTTAGCCGGTTCATCTAGGTAGCTGTATGGGCCGACCAGTTCATGTTATGGCCTAAGTTTGCCGCCCAAGCAAAGGGGCCTCCCCCTCCTAAGTATAATTATATATAGGTTATTTTATGTCATTAGGGTTCAATTTTGCTGAGTTTCTTGTCAGGATAGCCACCGACGTCCCTTTGGTTTTCTCTCTTACAGTTGTATCTGAAGACGAATGGTGCTCCGACTGTATCTCGCTTTGAGGTGGTGATTATTCTTCATATATCTCCTCCACCTAACCCTTCCAGCCTGTCTCCACAAGCCTCCTCCCACTTGCCTGTTCGCTGCCCTTTTCACCGCATATCCACCTTTTTAGTGTCACTCCTCCTGGTCCCTTCCAAGTGACCGTCGTCTCCATGCATCGCCCCCTGCTACTAATTGCCTCAACTCCTTATTGCTGGTTGCGGCGAATCCCTCCTACTCCTTCCTTACTGCCACACCTCTTCCTAGAGCACCTGCTTGCCATCGTCCCCTATTATGCTCCCTGTTTGCTGTCCAGCCGCTCGCCACTGCGTATCCACTTTGTTAGTATCGCCCTCATAGTCCCTTTTAAGTGACCGTCACCTCCATGCATCGTCCCCCTGCTACTGAGAAATCCTTATTGCTGGTTGCGGTGAATCCCTCATACTCCTTGCTTACTGCCACACCTCTTCCTAGAGCACCTGCTTGCCATCGTCCCCTATTATGCTCCCTGTTTGTTGTCCAGCCGCTCACCTCCCTCTTACCTATTGCCGTTCACCCTCCTACCACCTTCAAATTCATGTTCTTGCTATCCCGGCCACAACCCACCAGTTTGCCTTGGAGTGTCAATTTATGTTTATGTTAGGTGTCTTGTTTTGTAACTTTGTTGAATTTTAGCAATAATATTTTCATTTCTATTGTGGTTTGGGTTAACTTCCGCATCAATTGGTATCTGAGCCAGGTTAACCCTAGTCATATCCTAGGGTTTCCTAGCATCCACCGTACCCAACTATCTCTACTCTAAAATTTTTCTTTTCTACCCTAAAATATCCT